GCTCAGTGGCAGAGTGCTTGCCTAGCATGTGTGAGGCACTGGGTTCGATCCTTAGCACCACATAAAAATAAGTAAATAAAATCAAGGCATGTTGTCCATCCTCAAGTACAAAAAAAGAAAGAAAAAAGAAAAAAAGAAAGAGAAAGAAAAGAAAAGAAATCATACGGGAAAGTAACCTAAGAGATCATATGACCAGGACTGGAAAATTGACCTGGCAGGTTAATTTGCAGATAGATGGGATTTATTTGGACTGAATTTGAATGCTTACTATTAGACTACCATACACATTCTAATTAATTGCTGAGCCTCTAGGGATACATATATTCATAACCTCTGATCATTCCCAAAGGTGTAAGGTAAATGAATTGAATTCAGATGTCTAAATCTGGAATGGGGAGATAAGAGAGAACACATTATTTTCATTAAGCCCATTTAAAAATGAATAAGAAAACAATTGAAAATCATTCAAGCTAAACTATAATAATCATTTCAATTCTTTACTTTCCCTGTGTCTCCTACTTTTTCATGTAACATGTTTGCTTTCCCATTCACTGATTGACCGGTGGCTTAGTTTAGCCAATAGAATATCCACAAACAAGCTTGGGATGGGCATTGGGAATTGCTCTCTCTTGCACCTCTTCTATCACCAGCAGAACTGGCCTAGGCTAGCTTGTGGAGGATGAGGAACCAATGGAGCAGAATCCAGTTTCCCGTGTTGGCTCAGGTGAAGTCTGTCCAGATCAGTGGCAGTAAGTGGATATGTGATTGAGCCCATCCAAGATCACAGAACCATCTAGCCAAGCAATGTGAGGTTTAGGAGTTGTTATGCAACAGTCTTGGGCTACTAGATAAATGGTATAGCAATTAAGAGCTTCCATTAGCACTAAGGATCTAGGAAAAATAAGACTGTAGAATCGATGGTACTGGTTACTGGGAAAGAAATTAGAAAACTTTTGTATCAAATTGGTTTTAAGTCTTGAAGCTGAACACAGACCTCAGAACATATCTATTTCTAAAGTACAAGAGTCAAATATGTTCTAAATCCAATAGAGGGATAGATCTAGGGCCATATTTAAGCAATGTTTTAATTACAGTTAAGTATTAACAAGAAAATATTAGAATGTTTTTCATTTTGTTTTACACGCATACTTATTTCATCTTTCTCACTGCTTAGAATTATATATTTTAAGGAAAATTAAATTTTGTAATAAAATAATTTAACTGAAAAGTTTGATGCTAGCTCTCTCCACAAACTGACTGCTGAAAGCTTAACTTTTTTTGGAATATGAGGCTGGAACCCCAGGAATTGCTGTTATAGTGGAGGAAGATTGTGACTGCCAGAAAAATACCAAGAAAACAAATAGCTTCTTAGGTGCTTGACAACCTGGGAGATGATGAAGATTATTACACTTCCTCCTAAGACCATGAGTAGGAGCATTTAAACTAAGTAGGCTAAAGACTAGAATTCATGCCAAATGAATATTTGATTATCTATAGGTACCAAAGGAAACTTGTTCCACATGTTCATTCCACATAAACAAAGAAAATACAGAGGTGAAAATCCTATTTACAAAACCTGTGAATTGATATGAAATGTGCGAGAGAGAGAGAGAGAGAGAGAGAGAGAGAGAAACACGCCAAGGAAACACACAAACCTTTGGGAATCTCTAATTTCAAATATAAAAATCCCACAGAAAAGAAAACTGAATTTTGATTGTGGAGGGCTGTTTCTGGGTGAGTGGGCCTGACCAGTGTTCACAGAGGGCCCCTATAAGAGTGAGTTCTCTGCAACAGCAGCTTTCAGACATTTAAAAAAATGATACATATTTTCTTTCTTTCTTTTTTTTTTTTTTGGGGGGGGGGGTACTGGGGATTGAACTCAGGGGCACTCAACCACTGAACCACATCCCCAGCCCTATTTTATATTTTTTATTTACAGACAGGGTCTTACTGAGTTGCTTAGCATCTCACGGTTGCCAAGGCTGGCTTTGGCCTCCTGATCTTCCCATCTAAGTCTCCCAAGCTGCTGGGATTACAGGTGTAGCCATGGTGCTGAGAAAAATTGATACAGATTTTCTATCATGGCCCAACACTCACACATACACACGTGCGCACGACACATGTGCACAGTGTACATATTTGTATGTATATATGCATGCCTCCTTTTGAAAATACAACACACACAAGCTTCTTGAATTATAGCAGAAACTATCCAAGTTGTCTAAGGATAGCCTATTTTGTGGCTAAATTATCAAGTGCATTCTAAAAATAAGAATATACTACATAAGAGCCAAGTTATTCTAAGAGTCAGCATTGCAACATCTCTGAACATTTAATTGCACAACATACTTACATAGTATTATCACAAGGGCATTTATGTAATCACTGTGAATCTTTTAATTGTATTAGAGATGCAGATTTTCTAGAATTGCTACAGAGGCAATAACTCAGTCTTGGTTTTGCTCATTTTAAAACCTGTGGCTGTGAGATTTGTCATTAGGGTATAATGAACTAATGAAGTCCTATCTTGGAATGATGTTTGCAGAAAGCCCGGTATAATCATGGACTGAATGGCTGAGTCAACGTATATGTCATTTTTCTAAAGAATACTGGAATCAGCACAGCTCAGCCTAAACCTATCAACATAAACCCTACTGAGCAACAGCGTTGAAATATGCAATAAAGCACATACAAACAGTCCCTTCATGATTAAAAAAAAGAAATTCTTCTCTGGAGATTGCTCCAGAGTTTAATGATGGTAACAAGTTGTAATTTGCTAAAGAATGACTAGAATTCTTTTAAGAGTATGAAAGTATTCATGTGTGTAATGTATTGGTCCACATTAAGTACCAGCTGTCTGGAAATAAAGACACACATTAATAGTTCTTTATATTCTTGCTAAATTTGGAAATGTCATCTATTTGGCAGCTTTTTTCTTCTTCAAAATCTTAAAGAATGGGAATCCCACTCTTTTTTTTTTTTACTTCTTGTGCAGTTTAGTATGAGTTTACAGAATACATTGTCTCATATTTAAAAATGAAATGAGACATATCCTCTATGTGTATATAATTCAAGAACTTAAATTCTACTTGCTCAATACATTATAATATATTTGGAATACATTATGAACATAGGAAGCTGATATCTTCTATGGTATTTTCATAAAATCCTAACAACTAGAGCCTTAATTTACTAGATGGCAAAATTAGTTATTTCTGATTCTCACATAGCATCAATATTTTATTATTTGTGGAATGATAGAATTTTACTTGTGATTTTTAGATTAATTCTTTTTATTTATTTATTTATTTATTTTATTTTTTGAGAGAGAGAGAGAGATAATTTTTTTTTAATATTTAGTTTTTAGTTTTCGGCGGACACAACATCTTTGTTTGTATGTGGTGCTGAGGACCGAACCCGGGCCGCACGCATGCCAGGCGAGTGCGCTACTGCTTGAGCCACATCCCCAGCCCTAGCTTAATTCTTAAACTGATTTTTGATGTCTCAGTGAAAGATTCTAACACAATGTATTATTCATATTACTGAGACAATATGAAACTTTTTGCACATTTCTTAGTAGTTCTGTGACACACGTTTTGACTCATTCCTATAGAATATTCATGGATGCTAATTTGAGAAAAGTAGACAACAGAAACATTCCAAATTTGAACACTCGGCTTTACTGATGTATGATTATTATCAGTTACATTATCTCATGTAGCATTACATATTGAAGATTCAGGAAGTTTTTAATGCTCAGGATTAAGAAAACAAATGAGTCATAGGGAAGAATTATCTAACCTCTCTTTATCAATTCAAAAGCCTAGTTGATATGAAGCTAGTATCAAAAAAGACAAAACAAACTTTTCAGTGGAGACAATCCAACAGACCTATCTTCGACACAGACCCAAATACCAGAACTGATCTGGTATCTCGCAGGATAAGTCTTTTGGTCCCATTTCTCAAGGTACATTTACAATGCGAACTGTTTGGAACCAAAATGATTTCTAGCTCTCAACAGGTTCAGTGAAGAACCATCTATTAAGCTTCTAATATCTGTTAGACTCTGCAGACCCTGTGCAGAGAAACAGAAAAGAGGAAAACTCAGACCCTGATCTGAATTGTTATTAAAGTCAGTTGACATCTTCCTGAACGTGCATCTCACTGCTTTCTGCTGTTTGTGTATAGAAAGTCTAGGAGAATCAGCAGATGCATTTTTTCTTCTGTTTCATGTTTTATAACAGCGATTTTGATCAAGCCTCCTTCTTGCTGCCTTTACCACTTTTCACTGTCAAATAAAGAACTGCATTAAAAAAAATATTTCCATGGCACTTTGTATTTTATAGTTTGGAAACAAACCTAGACATAGACCACACCGCTCAAGAAGCAGTTTCAAATTATTATTACTGTTAGCAAAATATTTCCATTCTAAGGCCTCCGGCCTTTTCCTGTGTCCAGCCGTCTTCTTCCTGACTCTGTCTTCATGCTACAATTTCTACTGACATTGCTGTTCTTCCAGCCCTCCATTCGTTGAACTGATTAACTTCTGGTAGAACATTTATAAAACTAAACCAATATATCATTTATTTGCAAAGTACCAGGTAATATTGGAAACTGAACATACATTCAGTTTGTTAATAATGCCAATATTAATGCTACCATTGTCACCTTGATTGTTAAAAGGATATAAAAAAAAAATACAGTTATTTATGGAGCTAATGATTCTAGAACCATTTCAAATAATAAGTGTTCCTTCCAATTCTAACAGGAAAACCACAAGATTTCCTTGGAAAATGAGATAAACTGCACATTGCTCATCACAGAAGAGTGTATAGATGCTTAGCTGGAGAGGAACATAAGAAAGAATCTCAAATTTAATTCTTTGCACTTCCTTCCATTCATCTAGACTTGTGAGCAACAAAACGCTCTGTGTCATCCCGACCACAAAAATGTGCCTTCAGTGGGCTACCGCTGGTTCTCATAGTGGGTAAAGGACTTACTTGCTGCTGAGGCAGCGTCTCAGGGAGTAGGAGGCCCCTCCGCCGCAGGTGCGTGAGCACTCGCTCCACGGGCCCCAGGCGTCCCATAGGCCATCGCGGTCCTCCTCGGAGCGTGCTGCCCTGGAGCTCTGCCAGAAATGAGAGGATGGTCAGCATCTTGTCCGCATGGAACCCAGAAACACGCATCCTGAAATGTGGGTGACTGCATGTCTGCAATAGTGGCCATACTGGAAATGAAAACCAGTATCCATTTTTTTTTTTTTTCTTAGTACCTGGGATTGAACTCAGGAGCAATTAACCACTGAGCCACATCCCCAGCCCACCCACCCCCCTTATTTTGTATTTTATTTAGAGACAGGGTCTCACTGAGTTGCTTAGGGCCTCGCTGTTGCAGAGGCTGACTTTGAACTCCTGATCCTCCTGCCTCAGCCTTCCGAGGCATAGGCTACTGTGCCCAGCTCTGTATCCCATTCTTAACAATTTAATAATGTGTCTATGTTTGAGGGGAGGAATATTTAAATATCCTGGGCTATAAAAGAAGAGGACAAGAGGTTGCACTAAGGAAGCAAATGACAAAGAAAGCTATAAATAGCAATCTGGGCTAAAGGAAGATTGATTACACTGAAGTCACAATTTTGCCCTGGGTGCATGCATTTATTCTTTCTCTCTTTGTGAGAAGCATCTGCTCTACAGGTATTCCTGCTTTGAGAAGCTTGACATGTGCATACCTGCACTGCTTTCCAAAATCTAACCATATGTTCTTCAAGACTCTTTTTATGAAGCAATTTATTCTTTTCAGATTGTTAAATGGAATGATCATATGAGATGATTTTAAAATTGCAGGGACTGCTTGTTATTTATAGGCTTCCTAGAGTAATCTGCATCTGCTGTGAGGATAATTATCATTATACACAGGTCTCAATGTTGCACTTAATATTTCTCATAGAGAAAATGATAGCGTTTGTGCTACAGCTAATTAGAACAAGTTCTGGAGCTAGAAACTCAGTTTGGGTATGGATTCTGTTTTTTACTATGTGTCCTTGAACCAAGTAACTTACCACCACCCTGTGCCTCAATTTTACTTTTGATAAAATGGGGGTGATATTATAAGCATGCCAGTTCATGTACCCAGACCCTATGTAGGGGAACTAGCTAAATGAACTTAGCCCCCAACTAGTCCCAGAGTTAGGGATTGATTTTTTTATTTTGCAGTAATGGACTGCTTTATAAGATAGTTTCTATAGGGCTGAGTTGTTCAATTGACTTCTCCTTGGATATTTAAGACCTATACAAATAAAATCAGAAACTTGGCCTACAATTTTATATAAATGGTTTTCTAACTGATACTTGGTTCATTTAGATTCCTAAATCATTTGAAGGGGAGGTGGGAAAATACAAACCGAGGATCAACTCAGCCTGGGGTGGGCCAGGAGTTATATGGGCTCCAGAGCTTCCTAGTTGCCTAAACTTGGGTACCTACATAACCTCTTTATTCTTGTTTTCTTATAAAATAGGGACATTAAAGGCAACTATAATCCTGAATCCTTGTGAAGATTAAAAGTGTTAATATACAATAAGCAAATAAGGTGGAAGCAACCCAAATATTCATGAATAGATGAATGTATAAACAGAATATAGCATATATATTCAATGGAATATTACTAAGTCTTTAAAAAGGAAGGAGATGCTGGATTGCTGGATGTAGTTTCACACACCTGTGATCCCAGCAGTGTGGGAGACTGAGGCAGGAGGATTGAAAGTTCAAGTCAGCTTTAGCAATTTAGTGAAGCCCTAAGCCTAAGGTAAAGGCCCTAAGTAAAAAAGGGCTGGGGATGTGGTTCAGTGGTTAAGCACTCCTGGTTTTACCCTAAGTACCAAAAAAGGAGGAGGAGGAGGAAGTGGAGGAGGAGGAGGAGCAGCAACAGCAGCAGCAGGAGTGGAGATTCTGGCCCATGCTACAACAGGAATGGACCTTGAAGACATTATGCTAAGTGAAATAAGCCAGAAAGCCAGACACATCAGACACATACTATGTGATTCCCCTCATATGAGGTGGCTAGAGTGGCCACATTCATAGACTAAGAAAATAGAATGATGGTCACCAGGGGCTGGGGGACAAGGCATGATGAGTTGGTGTTTAATGGGTACAGAGTTTCAATATGGGAAGATGAAAAAGTTCTGGAGATGGATGGTGGGTGGTGAGGTGGTAGAACAATGTGAATGCTCTTAATTCCACTAACTGTACACTTCAAAATGGGTAAGAGAGTAAATTTTGTTATGTATATTTTATTACTTTTATGTATATTTTACTACAACAAAAGTACATACATTTTGAAAAACACTGCATACACATGAGTTGCTATTATTATTCAACATTATTGATGATGTTATTAACATCATTTGTAAACACATATATGCTCTCTCTGGAAGGTTACAGGATGTACACTGGTAAGGCATGTGGGTTTCTTCTGTTGAATGTACCAGAGTCACTGCTGTCTTTTTTTTTTTTTTGGTACCCAGGATTGGGATTGAACTCAGGAGCACTCGATCACTGAACCACATCCCTGGTCCTACTTTGTATTTTATATAGAGACAGAGTCTCACTGGGTTGCTTAAAGCCTCACTTTTGCTGAGGCTGGCTTTGAACTCAAGATCCTACTGTCTCAGCCTCCCAAGCTGTTGGGATTACAGACATGCGCCACTGCACCTGGCTAAATCACTGCACTCTTAGGGTATCATCTCGTTGAAATCCCGACTTTTCTACCATGTTACCTTGCAGCCACCTGTGGTATTACATCTCCAGGGACCTGTGAGTTGCTAGCAATATTGGGTTACTATAAAATATGTCATACACCTGGTAACCCCAAAGTCTATCCTTTCTATAGGAATTATTTATTGAGCCCCAAAGCCTGAAATTTAGGATTAATAAAACCAATCTGTAATCATTATAATGCAAAGTACCCTGGTTTAAGAAGTTAACTAGTGAGAGAGAAAAGTCCTATGCCATTGAAGTACATGTACTTAAGTCTCTGCTTCTGAAGCCCATTAAAGTCACTCCTCAGATTTGCAAAAGTTTACTGTACATCTCCTGATACCCTTTGTGTTTTCTCTGTGTGACTGGAAGATGGAACTGTTGACAGAGGCTCAGTATTTTCCTGATGAAGTTACTATTTGTGTGACAAACATATATTGGTATAATGCCATTCTCCTTATTTATCCAAATTTAAAATGACTGAGATGAAACCAGTATTACAAAAGCTAGGGTTTGTGCAGTAATGGAAGTGTGATGAGTGAATACAAACTTTGATGCTTTTCAATTAAAACCATATCAAATTCCTACATGGAGCATTTATATATGAACTGCATTTCCCTGTAAAATAGGAATACCAGGATGCCAAAACCTTAGAGAAGTTTCCCCTGGCTGTTCTCCGGGTAAGATCTTTAGGAAATGATGTACGGTTGTGATTTTGTTTTTCTACAAAAATGAATTGTTTCAAACTCTGTGCTAAAGTTGCTTGGTATTTTTCATGTTTTGTCTAAAGAGCACTAAAAGCCTGTACGGTGACATTTTGCTGACTAAATATCTTACAAATTACAAATTACAAATTCAGCACAATTAGTAAGTGCCCACATTGCTTTGAAAGAGATCTCACATTATTCTGGAAACAAGCATGGGCCTCGTTCTCAAAGGGGAACAAATTCCAAGTTTTCTTTTAGCTAGTGGAATAAACATAATTCATTTCAACTGAATCCATGTTTAATGTTAGAGAAAGTGATTTTCCTCTTCTTTAACTGTGCCAGACTTTTACATCTAAAACCAGAAACAACATTTTCACAATGTCTTTCAGTTCATTTAAAAACTAGCAGTATTTGCTTATTTCAGTCTATAAGATGATCTTCAATGTAAACAACTTTTGTGTCTGGTCTGGGTAGAATTCATGTTTATTTCTCTCTTTCTTTTGAATATGCAGTCTTTTTGACTTTATTGAAGCATTTTTTTAAGTGTAAATTTTGAATGGTATCTATTTTGGGAAACTGAGGCTTGAGGGAAAAAAGGAATATTAGGTAGCCCAATAGAAAATGGGCTACCTAAAAGCAATATTGATTGCTTCTGAAACCCAAATTATAAGCTTTTCTATATAACCAAGACAATATTTCTCAATCTGATTTTTATCACAAGTGGAATATTTTAATTTAAATGCCTCAAAAAGAAAATTATAAGTGCTGTTAAACACAGCAATTAAGAGAGTAAATTTCAACAGCAATGTTATGTGAGATGATGGTCTTAAGTTCTTTGTTTAAGCCAGTGTTTCACCAGTAAGAGATCTATCAAAACAAGTCAAAAGCACATCTGATAATAAATTTGAGGAAAAACACTTTTCTTAGTATAGCATGTATTTTACTTTATAGTTATTGGATGGGTGAAAATGAACAATGGGCATCTTTTGAGCTAGCATTTGAGAAACTAGCAAACACTGAGAGAAGAAAGGCCTAGATCTTGAGTCTATGAAAATGATGTCTTGAGTTATTCAACTTAGAGAAACATCATAGTCATTTCTAGATCTTTGGTGCCACGTATTGATCTTTAAATGTAGTTTTTGATGAAGATCCTTAAATCAATGCTTTCTTGTTGAAAAACTCAACACCCAATGCCACAATACCCTTGAACCATTCCTCCAGGCTAGTCAGGAGGGACTAAACTTCTACAAATGCCAATTGCATGGAATACAGGTTTGGTTACAGTTTTTTACATACCTCCTACATATCTTAGAAGAGATTCCCTACCTCCCTTGACCTAAGAATGGGGTCACTTTCTCACCATTACTTACTTATCTAGTTTTCATCTGATAGTTTTGCGGATGATTTCAGAACCAATTGCACCACCAAAGTCTCAGGTAGAAGATCCAAGGCTGAGAGCTACAGTAGTTAAATGCTTTGAGCAACCACATGAAGTAGTATTTTCTCTGCTTTTCCCTGTCCAATAGACACTTAACCTTGGAATGACCTCTTATGTACCACTTTATCCAGAAACCTTTTTCACTGGAACCTGGACAGGTTATCAAAGACTTATGGGATTGGAGGATAAAGCACAAATTAGCAATAAAAGTCTCTAGAGTTATATTTGCTC